ATTATCGGTTGATTAGGTTTCGTACATTCCACTCAGAAAATAATTCATTGACTCAATGATAGAATCGTTTTTTAACCACTCGACCTCATGAGGGGCTGTACACACTAAATCATATTTTAAGTATTACCCACCTTCGTGAACATTGTGCTAACGATGTTCAGCGTTCAATGATCGGAAATGACACATTGAAACCCGCTTGTCTTATAGAATATCTTACCTTGATTTGTTTGGCTTATAGTCTGGACTCAGGCGTCTGTGTATGTGGGAAAAAGTAAAATGTCGTATAATAAAGCGTAATTGAGAGTTGTTGAAAAACCACCGTACAACTTCCAATTCGATACAATTGACTTGAGCTACATCTTCATTGCAGACAGCCCGAAAATTATCCTTTCGTGCTTAAATAAATATCAGATGAGTGGTGCGTTTGTCACTGTGCAACCACGACCACAGAAGCGAGCGATCAGAAAACATCTGGGCTCACTAAACCTCAGTCGGTCAAATGGAAAGAACTAGTGAAACTGAGTCGCACATTGCCGAGAGTAATCCGGCATACACAATCAATACGCTGTCGCTCGTAGCTGATAATGTTTGCTTGAAACACGCCTAGTTAGTGTTAGCGGGGAGGGGGATTTCAGACAGTTTGAAACACTGATCGGCTTTGCTCAGCCTATACCGACTACCGTTTTATTGTTCATACAACTGGATTTGTCTCTCACTGTATTGAACAAATTGTACTGTCCAAACAACCGGGGCAAACTGACCCCCCGCACCTACACCAGTCACACGAGATGACCAACGGGATTCTCGCAAACATGATATCTCATCCAAATGAAACGTAGCTTTATATGTAAGAGAAATTATTTGCACGTTTCACCTTTTCAGCAAGGATGGTGTCTAGGGAGTTAAACCATCCATTCCTGTAGAAGCAAAGTGCACAATACGCTGGACACTTCACTTCCTTCTCCCTCTCCTAGTGAGCTAGTGAGGTATAACGGTAGTGCCCACCACAATCAGGTATCAAACTCAGTGCTCTTTACACGTCATTTGAGGTTTATCGTTTATGAAAGTCGCGAAACCACCTTCGGTTTAGTGCATTATTATTATTTCAAACTTATCTGGTCCTTACAGCCTTCCTTGCATGCCTGATGTACACCGTCTGTTTCTATTTCTTATTTTAGAATGTTCAAAAGATGCTCGGTTTTGCCCCTTCACGTGCAATGAATAAACAAGCTGCGAATTTAACTTAACTCCATCTGTGGCTCACACTAGTCAATCGATTCGCATCCATCGATCACGCTGGCGAACTGTTCCTTGTTCGTCTGTCCCAATTATATTGAGTACTGTACACCCCTAGACTGGTTACAGTGATTTGTTGACCAATCAGCCGTTCTTTTTTGTATCTTCCCAGTGTTTGTCTTGATCATCCTTGCGATTCGTATTCAAAATGTGCATATCTTCATTGTATCCTTGTATTTCTATTGACCAGGCAGAGCGGGTGATTTTTGTAGGTTCACTTCACATAACAATTAACCATGGACTGTTTGGCGACGATTGTCGGCTACCCACTTGGCCAACCACAAGAAATATGCAGTGAACACTTGAACTAGGTGTGCGTAAATGTACAATGGACCCTGGTTGATATACTCCATCATATATCACACAGTGTCTAACGATGGGCTGAGTTGGCCACACATCAGGAAGTCTTCTGTGGCATGTGTAACTGATCGTTCTATCATATCACTCCTCGTTCTGGTCATTTTTAGTTTACCATTCACTACATGCTTTGGCGAAAGTCGCACGCCAAGGAAGCCTATCTGGTAACATACGTTACATCCCAGCTATCTTAATCCAAGAAAAGCAAACTTCTTGTTCCAGTGTACGGCCTGGATTACCTAAACGCTCTCTCCAACCGCGTTATTGTCTGTCCGGTTACCCCACTAGACTCCAACAGTATCGTGTTCGGACGCCGAGTGCCTTTTTCTCGTAACACCCACGTCTCTGCACCATACAAAATAGTCTGCCGGACGGCTCCAGCATACACCTAGCCCCTAACAGATAAGCGTTTTCATCTACCCCTCTTAGTTTTGTACTGTAATGGAAAGAATCGAATCATGGCGGTATGCACAAATGTGATTCTCGTATAGTGGATAACTTCATTAGAATACAACCTTGTTTACGGTGACTCACCGTAAGGCACTATCACTTCAAAGTCTAGGTTGTACCCTTTTCTTTCTGTATTGGTTGCGTACAGTTTAGATATCCTGCCTATTTCACACTTGCGATTGAATACATTCACACATTGATAAGAGACTCATAGAATGCATAGAAGATATCGATGGTCACTCTCAACGATAGTGCATCTTGAAAGAACCCAACGCCTCACTAGACAGTTCTCTTTAGACGTAAACTACCATGAGAAATCAATGCAAAAAACGACTACTGGCTTCTATTACTCAATAAGATGAGACCGGGCACGGGGTTATTTTTTGCAAGCAGCTATGCCTACATTCCAGACAATGGTAATTCGACATTCCATTGAGCCTCCGCACACCAAGGTATGTGAGATGAGGCCTAGCATGCATATCTAACGCAGTTCATTCTCCAGATAGCCAACCTGGGGTAGTGGAATTCCAACGAATCTGGTAAACTATACACATCCAATCTGACCAATTGCATAGCTAATAGCACAAAAATCCGGAATATTCCGATAGGCCATTTCACAAGCACTGATGATGAAACGTTGGCAAACAAATGACCAAGCTCGGCGAACAGGCGCAATGGAATATTCTGATAGCAATTGGAACCAGTCAATGATTGATTGATGCTTGTGGGGATTATTTACAAGAGTTAACCATGACGCCTATCTGCCGTTTCTAGTATGTAAACTCTGGCTCTATCGTATGAAAGACGTGCGTTACCACTTTGTTAATCACCTCAAATCTGACTAGAATTGTCAGCTCATGTTTGTTCAGATAGCTTCGTTGAAAGTGGGAACTCAATCAAGCTTGGGACATTCATTTTGGGATGGGTGCTTAAAATTTCAAGGATCTGACCTAGTGAGAATCTTCAACTAGAAGTTACATTCCCAGTCCGCTGCGAAGCCGGGTCGGGTCAAAACAATTGATGGACTATCTCTGAGGACAGCCAGTATACAAAATCGGCTCAGCAATTCTGGTTAACCAAGTTGAGCTGGCTGATACAGTGGCAGCACAAACACCCTCAATGCAACCGGGCCAGGTTCAATATTCCAGAAGAAACAGGTCAATTTGCACTACTGATTGAGTTATAGTAAAGCGAGACTCGAGTTTACTGCGTTCCAATTATTATGATTAACTGAATGAATCGAAGGACGTGCGTGATGACGGTCACTGACAGCAGAAGACATTCTTCACCACAATTAATCACTACTAAATTCACTATTTCTGTTTGATTTCGGGTGTCACACTGCAGCACTAATCATAAATTTTGAAACAAACGGGACTAAAATAAAACACGAAACTCTTCAATGTTTCGTTCAACGAGGGGAATTTCGCACAATAGAATGAAGAGAATTACATGATAATTGACCGACTACAGAAAAAAGCAAAAATTCAATTTGAGAAAACCTGTCTGAAGTGAATGTCCTATTCTTATTCCTACCGGTACACAACAGAGCTATCGAACGTATAATATGGATGAAACAAGGAGTTCACAAGGTACATTGGTGGGACTTGAGTGCAGCTCTGCGGGCAAAGAAGGCGATACAGATGGGACTGTACGACTGAGAAGTGAAATAGGAACAAATGAAAATTGATGGAACTCAATGCAATGATGACAGTGCGATGTAAAGCGTGTGGTTTTCCGGTCGTCAGGCCACGAACATCATAGAGGGACTGCTTCCCTGATTGATTTTCAGAATCTAAGTTTGCAATCACTGGAATGAAATCAATATGTACGTTCTGGAGTGGGATTACTCCGCGGTGGGAAGAACTATTTTTATTATATATATATATATCTGTATTTTCCCCTGGCAGCCTTTGTATGGCCGCAGCCCCCTTCCTGAAAGTTGACTGTACATTTGTATATTCAATAAATGGAAAAAGGAAGTAAAAGGACATTTCATTTTCAAAAGGGATTGAGACTATAACCCTATCCTGCAAACGATTAATTATGAAAACGACAAAACAAAAGTGCGCACGAATTGTCTACAATATTGCCGTCGATTGCGGAACATGGTGAGCCACCGTCACCAGAATATCTCGGCACTGTTTGACGCAGTCAGATGAAGCACATACGTCAACACGGAGGGAAAGGGACGTGTGAGTGCAAGGGATTCCGGTTTCAGATACCCCAAAGGAAAACGTTAGTACCACATTTTATTCGTATACAGTACAGCTATTAAAGTGTCCTAGAATAAATGGTTACACTGTTCATTGTGCTCCCTTCCCGGTGTTCTGTCTGCGCATGCGCGCATCCACATCAGCACAGAGCGAATGAAAACGGTTAGAATGTTAGTCATCGAGATGGAATTCAAGTCGCATAAACCGTGAGATGACCCCGAACCAGCGTTAGTTTAAGCCACTAAAATTAATATTTACATTGATTGGAGGGTCAATACTCCAAGTTTTGTAGTTGCGCACAGAGATTCTAACCGTCGCACGAAGGAGGGGCTGATCACGCATCATACTGAGCACTTACCAGCTGAGGGGTCGAATTACTCTTCAGAACGACACTTACAGATTGCCAGCTACACAATTCTCATTTGCGGTGAAGAGTAATTGCATGGAGGATATTAGGCGTTGCTGCATTCAATTCATATTTGTATAGCAATCAGTAGAAAATGTCTATTCGTACAAAATATCCAAGAACAACACAATAGACTAAGGTCTTTTTAACGGAGAGAGAGAGCAGGAAGCGTTAGGAATGAAAAGAAGTGATCACAAGTACCGGTTGTTTTTAACGGAATGATAAGCTCAAATCAGACACAGCCTTCGGAGTTCATGAGAAAGGCAATCCGCTGCTCAGTATCGTTGTCTGCGTTCTTGTAGTGCCGAACGTCGTTCGCGAATGGCCGATTTCAGAGCAGCTCGTTTCTCCTCAATATCCCATCCACAAGCGGCAGAAACTAAGCCGGGTTTCGGTGGGGGCACAGGCTTTTCCGGTGCCGGACATGCGTTGTGCATTCCAGCCGGTCGATGTCGATCGCAATAAGGAAGACGACAACCCAAACATTTGATAGCGCAGCGCGTAGCAGGGTCTCCCGCGTCATAGATTTGATCACATCCCGGCTGAGAGCAAACGCGTTGCATCAATTTGGCCATACCATCCAGGTCGTTTGGATGAACTGTTTCCAGTTTTGCAACCACGCTAGTTTGATTTCGAGGGTCAGTTTTACTGGCTGAACGAGAGCGCGGTCGACTGGTCTGTAAGAAAACATCCCAAAAACGAACTACTGATTATCCACAAGTAGTTCAACTCGGTAAAATACATTAGTAACCGATGCATAAAAGACAAAACTCGGGGGAACAACACTGATACAGATAAGTAATGGTAATGGGCCATGGTGGCAGATGTATATTGTTTATAGGTCTACAAACGGCCCCTTCATATGACAGGGAGAAAGCTAGAAGGAACCGATTGTTACCTTGCTTAAAAATGCAATACCCTAAAAACATGAGACTTAGTCAAAATAACCGCACTTGTTCACCCATCCCAGTGGACAAGTGCGGTCATTTCTTACGCTTTCCGAGCGACAACAACAGAGACCTACAACCGATGCGTGAGTTTCGTAAAAGAAAGAAACAACAGCCTTCCGTACCTGATTGAGACACGGTGATTCACCGGACTAAAGACAGATGTACAGTCGTCTTTCTAGACCCAGTTTCCATGGATGGGGGACAGCAATAAGTAGGCAAATCCACAGATTAGTTAGTAGTGCGAAAGCGTAATATCGAGCAGAAACAGATCTTCCACAAATGTTGTTTTATCCTCCGGTTAGGTGGTGTGTTAAGCGCTGTGATTACGGTAGTTTGTAGAGGCGCATATTTTTTTACTTATCTTCGACTGGCTCAATGAAGACGATGAGTCAGTTTCATGAACACCAGTCGAGACTGCTCATACCTGGCGACTGGTAACAAGATCTTTGCAGATGTTAATCCAATTGTACACCATAAGACGACCAAGTTGGCCCACATCTCCGAGTAGTGTCCCCCTTATGGGAGGCACCAGCATGAGTAAGGAGACGGTGTGATAACAGTGTTCGTCAAAGCGTGGTCAGGTTTGCGGAGGACTTTTTCGAACCATTGCGATTAGTGGTGCTGCATGCATGCTGACCGGCGAGTGGTGAGACGGTCGTTTCTATTAGACCCATTTGATATTCTGTCACGTCAGAGTTGCATAACGGAAACAATTGGATGTTTACTTCACTACAGTGACTCAACTATTCGACTTAATCAAAACAGTTAAATCGCCGCTGTGACTTTACCAACGGTATATATCAGTTTCGTCACATGAAGACCAGGTGGACGTGGTTCATGCAGTGAACGTAAAAAGCTGATCATTTGTAAGAACAGATTGCGAATCGGGAAGAAGTGAGGGCAGTTTCGACTACTAGTTAGATCAGAATGTCAAGAAAGCACTAACCGCGTGCGCGACACATTGCTAGCCCGCACATGAAATGACACTGAAATGGTTTCACCAAGGTTGAACAAGCTCACGGCTTTTTGTCAAAGTATGCTTCAGGGTTCATATACATATACATATATACATATATATTTCGCGTGACTTGATTGTGCGTAATTCTCGGTGTGTAGATGCATGGGCGCACACACACTATTGATCGACTGCACATATGGCATTTCACCCTCAGAACACGTGATTGTCATCGCACCCAATAACCGTGTGCAAAGACCAATACCACGAAAGACAAATAGTGATGCCGGTGGCACATCAGATAGATACACGAAACGAAGTTGTGTGTGTGTGATAGCGCAATCCAATGCCAAATCATAGCTTTTTCAAAGTGTGCTCTAGTGAGAACAAACGAAAAGTTGCTCCCACAGCCAGATGACAAGCGAGCGAAGGTTGCAATGAAACGGAGACCGTAGAGCATGAAGATAGGGAGAAAGGACAACCGTGCTAATGCGATTCTATGGTGGATGCAGACGAGCAGGAGAAATTTCGAGTTCATACCCGATGTGCGTTTTTTTCCGGTGGGAATAAGCAACCTCCTTTTGTGCCAATAAAAAGTTCTGAAATCTATTCGGATGCATTAACACTGCATAGTCACCGAATTCATTGCAATTAATGAATCTAGTCAACCGTTAACAATGGGGCGGCTATCAGTGCCGTCTTTCGATTGATTTTTTCACGTCAGGACCAAGCACAAACAACCTGTCGGTCACTGTCGCTCAAAGCACTATAGTATACCGGTCATTAGAGAATGGTCGATCTGATGAAGCACAGTCAAGTACCAGGTTTTGATTTGAACGGTGTGAACTTACTAAACCCGGTCCAGGTTGTGAACCCGTTACCTGTTACCGTTAGTTAATGGAAAGTGCGGAGCATAGCGGTCATACCGAATGAACAATTTACCCGGAATTCACAAAATCCGAATAGAGATGAAAATGAGTACAACAAAAAAATCCCTTTTAGCTAACGGCTATCTGAAAAACAAACTGGCTGAGTAGCGTAGAAAACCACGGGAAGAAACAGAACCCATATTGACAGTAAAACAGAATCAAGTGGCTTAATTAATTTATTTTTTTCATTATATAAGCCACTGGACCTCAAAAATTTTATCCGTACTGTGTCATCAGCAGTATCGTTAATACCTCACGCGCTGTCTATCGGTTCAGTTGCCACCATGATGACCGTCATATGAAAAGAACAGAATTATCACTGACTTCAGTGGTGGCCGAACACTACCTAAAATGTCTTGTATTCATTGATATAGCTATAGAGCGCACATAACTAAATTTGACAAGAGATCTTGGCACTGGTTATCATGAATTATTCGAAGTTGTGTTTTTCTCGGTCCTCGTGAATTGAGATGAATGAGAGCGCATTCAAGCCACCCACAAACTAACAACAACCCTACGGAGAACCTTGTCGAAAACCAAGAAGCAACAGACAAAAATCGAATAAACGTGATCTACCGAATCAACTGCAAGGACTGCAACAAGTACTATATCTGTCAAACAGGGAGAGAGGTAGCAACTCCTGTGCACGAACACAAACTGGTCGTCAGAAGACACGATGTACTCCCACTCATCTCAATTCACGAGGACGGAGAAGGACACAACTTCGATTTCGAAAACATCAAAGTCGTCGATCAGGCCCGCACTAAGCACGCAAGAGAATTTCTGGAAGCTTGGCATTCATCGGAAAACTTGGTCAACCGACACATTGACATCGATCAAGTCTACACCTACATGCAACAAAAGCATCAATCAACGCAAAGGTGGATCCTGTCACACGTGACAAGAGGACAACAGTAAGGCTTAGACTGATCGATCAACGACCAGCCGTCAGACTGTTTGCGTCCACCTCATCCGCTATCGGCACACAGCGAACAAAAGTTAACCAATCAGGCAACGCCACGTCTCTACATCACTCAACGACCTATATGAGGAAAAGGGCGCTCGTAAGCGCTCACCCAGTTACTGCACTGAGATTGTCACCTCGATTGGCGATTAAACGTTTGCAATAGAATTGCCAAGCTCGGCGAACAAGTGAACATCAAGTTACTACCTGAGCTACAACAATAAACATCGTTGTTTACAAAACTATCATATATATATATAATTGATTCATCAATGAACTGGTTCTGAAAGAGCTGACCAAACAATTCTACCCGGTGTTGCAAATGAGGTTGTTGTGACGAAAATACACCTCCTGGGTACAAATACATGAATGAACTGACAAAAGATTGGCGGATACGCATGCTTAATGAGTGACAAGAACCGCGAAACCGATCGTGTGCCTCCAAGGAAACTGTGTCCGGTCATTCACATACTACTTACTGCAGAATATATGTGTCGAAGAGAGCAAACGAAATGTACACATCATTTAATACATCTACCGTTTCCATTCTTATTAGACTTTGTTTCTAGCCAGACGAGTTTTCATTGGTGAGGCTCCATTTTGCACTAAGACGGACTAGTGCCGGGAAAACAGTAAGTCTGATTATGCCAGTGCACGTGTAAGTGATAAGAGACGACTGAATCAAAGTGACTATTGTGTCAAACTCACCGCTTTGCCTTTGGTCTTATCTGACTTGGAGGGATTACGCGTACGACTACGACTTCGACCAGACGGTGCCTCGGTTTTGCCCGGCACAGTACACGTCCCGTTCAGTCCGGGTTGTTGTTGTTTCTTCGGAGTCTTCAGGGGCGGCAGACCAAGACGTTGTCGACGTCTGGCTTCCGCGTCCGCGTTGCGTTGATTCAACCGCGCTTTTAATTCCTGCTCCCTTTGTTTTAACCGGACACCTGCTCGACAAACAACTTCATGGCCACATTGTTGTTCCGGGGGGATATGTTGCCAACACCAAGGACAGAGCCAATGATCTTCCGGTACCGTTTGCATCTCGCTATCAACACGTTTTGGTTTGATTGGGCGCTTATTGGTCTGTCGATGACGTAATCGACGTAATCGACGAGCCTTCTTGCGGCCAATCTGTAAGACGGAGAATGCAAAACAGTCACTGAAACAGCGAGATTTGGAACAATTACACCAAATGAAAACACCCGATCACAAACCCATAATCAAACATAAGATCATTCAGTAGGTAATCAGCGATAAGTAAGACTATCTATAATTCTAAGCTACTTATTACAGAATGAGTTACCTCAGTTGATTTGGTTTCCATAAGTCTGTGCGCATAACTAAACATATGACGGAGGGATCACTTCACGCAGCAAGGATAGCTCCACTCTCATTAAGAGCGATCTTTCATCACACAACGGAAGAACAGTAAAAGAGGTCAGCCCCACACCGACCAGGATCTATTTTTCTAGTTACAGGAGCCGATGAGCCAAGCATGGGGGACTTGGAGTGCTAAATCATATACAACCCCCCGGGAATAAATACGCTTGAAATTGTGCGAAACGATGAAGAAACTATTCAAATGGTTGTTTGACGGATTGAAGTCGTATGTTAAAATTGTTAAAAGTTCAGACTCAGTCGGATTTGAACCCACACATGGACGCCGCCTACATATTTTGTACACCGCACGATCTACCAGCTGAGCTCCGAAGCAACACCGATAGCACTGCACATTTCACTTGCATGCTGACATGTTACCTGGTGGATGCCAAACGCCTGTGTCAGTTGGATGGGTGATTTGAGTACTTATCTTGACCACCAAGTCATCATCATAATCACTATCATTGTACTGCGTAATACAGGGAAGCGAACTTTACTGCTCACTGCCAAACTCATAATGAATACGGGGCAAGTGAGAATGTGTGAAGAAAACATGGATTGGGCTTAATGTTAAAGATGGTAAGAAAACCAATCTCTATGATTAACACATAGAGAGCGCAGTCCAACTGTGCATACATACTATTTCAAGTACTCTGGTCTAATAAGAAGTAACAGCAAGATCGCCACTGTTGTCGGTTTGCTGCCATGACCTTCAATGTCTCCAACCATCCAGTTAAGGAGTTTTTGGACCTCAAACCGGAAGACGAGAGACACCTGCTCCACCTAGTCGCTCTGTGCATTTCTGCATGCCTCGTCTCCACGTCATCCGCTGGCCTCCATGTGGCTTTATCCCGTCGGCAACAAACACAGCAAATAAGGTGCGTTGGGTTAGGCGATCTTTGCGCATTCGCAACACGTATCATAACCAACGGGCCTATTAAGTTGAATTCGATGAGATAGCGAGTTCTTGTTTGAATCATATCCCAACACCCGACGGCTTACTTCTCAGTTACTAACCCACTTACTCCATCCCACTTGGGCCAGACTACGTAAGGATTAATTGTCAANAATTGTCAAAAGCCGCCACCATGAAAAGTGAAGACAAATCACCCGACTCGTATTCAGTAGATGCAGAGACGACTCGGTGGACGCATCACAGATGAAGTGTCTGCTCGAATGCAGAAGGCTTGGTTGGCGTTTGCTAACTTGAGACATCTGTGGCGCCGTTGCGACATTCGGTTGTCTGTGAAGAATCGAGTGTATGCCGCGGCAGTTCGGCCAGTTGTTATATGGCGCAGAAACTTGGTCATTAAGAAAACAGGATAAAGCCAGACTGTCGGTACTTGAACACTGCTGTCTACGCAGCATTGCACGAATCTGGTGGGGTAGCCGGATGAGCAATGCTGATGTTAGGGGCAGAGTTTTGGGTATCTGCGGTCGCCCACTAGAGCAAGTGGTCGAACTCCATAG